TCTGACATGACTTTTCTGTCTTTCTTTTCTTTACTTGTCTCGTCCAGTCTTGTTTTGTCTTTTCTAGTCTGGTATTATCTGGTATTGTCTGATCTGGTCTTCTCTGGTCTCGACTTTTCTTGTCTTGTCTTGTCTTGGTTTGTCTTGTCTGGTCTTGTCTGATCTATTCTCGTTTCGTCTCGTCGTCTTTTCTCGTCTCTTCCCGTTTTGTCTCGTCTTGTCTACCCTTGTCTTGTCTTGTCTTGTCTTGTCTTCTCTTATCTTTTCTTGTCTTGTCTGGTCTTGTCGTGTCTGGTTTTGCTTGGTCTAGTCAGACAAGATTTTTCTTGCATGTTCTTGTCTGATCTTGTATGGTCTTGTCTGGTGTTGTCTTGTCTTGCACTGTCTTGTCTCGTCTCTTTTTTTTAAGGTCTGGTCTTGTCTGATCTAGTCTCGTTTCGTTTCGTGGTCTTTTCTCGTCACTTCCCGTCTTGTCTCATCTTGTCTTGCCTTGCCTTGCCTGCTCCTGTCTTGTCTTCTCTTGTCTTTTCTAGCATTGTCTTTTCTTGTCTTGTCTTTTTGTGTCTTGTTTTGTATCGTCTGATCTTGCCGTGTCTTGTCCCAACTTGTTTTGTGTTGCCTAGCCTTGTTTTGTCTGACAATTTGCCTGGTGTTTTGTCATGTCTTGAATTGTCTCGTCTTTTTTATCTTGGCTTGTCTGCCCTTGTTTTGCATAGTTAAAACTTGTCTTGTCTTGTCTTGTCTTGTCTTGTCTTGTCTTGTCTTGTCTTGTCTTGTCTTGTCTTGCCTTGTCTTTTCTTGTTCTTTTAACGTCTTGTTGTGTCTTGCCATGTCTGCGTGTCTGACTGCTTCTTGTTGTATCATGGCATGACTTGTCGTGTCTTCTCTTGTCTTGCCTTGGCTTATCTTGTCTTGTCTCGTCTCGCCTTCTCTTGCGCTGCTTGTCTTATATTATTTTATTTTGTCTTGGCACATCTAGTCGTGTCTGCGGTCTCTTGACTTGTCTTGATGTGTCTTATTGTTTTGTTTGTGACTTGTCTTGTCTTGTCTATATTGTCTTGTTTTTCTTGTCTTAACTTGTCCTGTCTTCTTTCTTGTCTTGTTGTGCTATGCTATGTCATGTCTTGTGCTGTCTTGTTTTGTTTAGTCTTGTCTTATCTCATATTTTTTTGTCCTGACATGTCTTGTCGTGTCTGCGGTCTCTTGTCTTGTCTTGATGTGTCTTGTCGTTTTGTTTGTGACTTGTCTAGTCTTGTCCTGACTCTTCTTCTTTTGTCTTTTTTTGTTTTGTCTTCTTTCGTCTTGTTCGATCATGTGGGATCTTGTCTAATCCTGTCTCGTCTTGTCTGGTATTGGCTTGCCTTGCCTTGCCTCGCCTTGTCTGGTCTCGTCTCTTCTTGTGTCGTCTCGGCTCGTCTTGTTTTGTGTAATTTTGTCTTTTTTATCTCCTCTTGTTTTGTCTTCCGTGTCTTGTATTGTCATGACTTGACTTGTCTTGTTTTGTCTTGTTTTTTTTCTTGTTTTGTCTTCATTTGTCTTGTTTTGTCTCATCTGATCTTGCCGTGTCTTGTCCTAACTTGTTTTGTGTTGCCTCGCCTTGTCTTGTCTGACGATTTGTCTAGTGTCTTGTCATGTCTTCAATTGTCTCGTCCTTAATTATCTTGGCTTGTCTGGCTTTGTTTTGTATAGTTAAAGGTTGTCTTGTATTGTGTTGTCTTGTCTTGTTTTGTCTTGCTTTGTCTTTTGTTGTTTTTTTAGCGTCTTATCGTGTTTTGCCATGTCTGCGTGTCTGGCTGCTTCTTGTTGTATCTTGGCATGTCTTGTCATGTCTTGTCAAGTCTTGTTTTGTCTTTTCTCGTCTGTCTTATCTGTTCTCGTCTCTTCTCGTCTTGTCTTGACTGTTTCTTGTTCTGTCTTCTCTTGTCTTGCCTTGTCTATCTTGTCTTATTTGTCTTGTCTTAACTTGTCCTGTCTTCTTTCTTGTCTTGTAGTGCTATGCTATGTCATGTCTTGTGCTGTCTTGTTTTGTTTAGTCTTGTCTTGTCTTATATTATTTTGTCTTGGCATGTCTTGTCGTGTCTGCGGTCTCTTGACTTGTCTTGATGTGTCTTATTGTTTTGTTTGTGACTTGTCTTGTCTTGTCTATCTTGTCTTGTTTTTCTTGTCTTAACTTGTCCTGTCTTCTTTCTTGTCTTGTTGTGGTATGCTATGTCATGTCTTGTGCTGTCTTGTTTTGTTTAGTCTTGTCTTGTCTTATATTATTTTGTCTTGGCATGTCTTGTCGTGTCTGCGGTCTCTTGTCTTGTCTTGATGTGTCTTACCGTTTTGTTTGTGACTTGTCTTGTCTTGTCCTGACTTTTCTTCTTTTGTCTTTTCTTGTTTTGTCTTTTTTCGTCTTGTTCGGTCAAGTGGGATCTTGTCTAGTCCTGTCTCGTCTTGTCTGGTCTTGTCTTGCCTTGCCTTGCCTTGTCTGATCTCTTCTTGTCTCGTCTCGGCTCGTCTTGTTTCGTGTAGTTCTGTCTTTTTTTCCCTCTTGTGTTCTCTTCCGTGTCTTGTATTGTCTTGTTTTGTCTTGTGTTATCTGATCTTATCTGGTCTTCCCTACTCTTGTCTGATGTTGTCTCGCTTTTTCTGGTCTTGTCTGGTCTTCTGTCGTCTTTTTGGGTCTTTTCTGGTCTGGTCTGGTCGTGTTTTGTCTTATCTTTTCTTTTCTTGTCTTGCCTTCTCTTGTGTTGCCTTGTCTTGTTTTATCTTATCCTCTTTTGTCATCGTGACTTGTCTTGTCATGTCTTTTCCTGTCTTGTCTTGTCCGGTCATACCTTGCCTTGTCGTCTTGTCTTTACTTTTCTGTCTTGTCTTGTCTTGTCTTGTGTCTTATCTTATCTTGTCTTGTCTTTTCTCGTTATATCTTGTCTCATCTTGTCTGACACAATTTTTCTGTCTTTCTTGTCTCGTCTTGTCAAATTTTGTCTTTTCTTGGATTGTCTTGACTTGTCTTGTCTGGTCTTGTCTGGTCTGGTCTTGTCTGATCTGGTGGTGCCTGGTCTTTTCCTTTTTGTCTTGTCTTGTCTTATCATCCCTAGTCTTCTCTTGCCTTGTCTTGTCTTGCCTTGATTTTACTTGTCTTGTCTATTCTTGTCTGTTATTTTGTTGTCCTGTCTTGTCTTGCCTTTTCTTTTCTCATCTTGCATTGTGTGGTCACATCTTCTATTTATTTGCCTTACCTTGTCTTGACTTGTACTGTATTTCTGTTTCCATGTCTTGACTTGTCTTGTCTTGCCTAGTCTTGTCTATCCTTGCCTTGTATTGTCTTTTCTTGTCTGTTATTTTCTTGTTTTGACTTGTCGTGTCTTCTGCTGCCTTCTCTTATCGTGTATTGTCTGGTATGATCTTGCCTTGCTTTGTCTTGGCTAGTTTTGTCTTTTCTTGACTTGTATTGTTTTGTCTTGGCTTGTCTTGTTTTGTCTTGTCTTGACTTGTTTTGTCTTATATGGCCTTGTCTTGTTTTGTCTGTTCTTGTCGCGACTTGTCTTGTCTTATCTTGCCTTGTGTTGCCTTGTCTTGGGTTGTCCTGTGATGTCTTGTGTTGTCTGGTTTTGTCTTCTGTTGCCTTCTCTTGCCTTGTCTTTTCTTGCCTAGCCTTGGCTTGTCCTGCCTTGCATTGTCTTACTTATCTTGAAAGGTTGGTGGACATAGTCTTTTAAGAAAAATACATTAAACTAACGCTGAGATGAATGTTTGCTAGATCCTGGAATAGACGCATTTCCAATTTTTTGTACCAGTGTTCCTGCCCGATCCGTTTTCATTGAAGCATCATATTTGATAGCATTGCGATTTATAACTGGCTCCACAAAAATTTCTTCCAAAGCTTCAACAATTTTTTGTAATTTTATTAGGTTATAAAGTGCATTCACTAACGTTTCATATTGTCCATTTGAGGCTTTTGATGACTTTAACAATATTTCGCTCATTTGAGTGCAAAACATACTAAGAAGCAATGCATATTTCTTTGACGAGCCCGAATTTGTATCTGAGTTTGAGCTGATGTTCTGTTTCGGATACGGTTCACTAGAACTTTCTAGCGTATCGACAGGAACAAAATTAGAAATTATATGTGACATCTGAGGAAACAACGTAACTTGGAAAATTTGGATTTATTCACACTTTTTTCGAATGCTTTTTTAAAATGTTACTAGGAAATAACTGACTAGTCGATAAAATAAACAATATTATTAAATGGGGAAGTTTGTTCCAGTAAAAGTTGTAATCAGTTAAGAAGATATCTGTAAAGAGAATGGTAAAATTGATTATGTCGATTATAGTAAAGAGCAAAAAGAGGGGTTCCAATATGACATGTAAGAAGTTATGGTCACGTACTTCCTCGGAGATGTGATGGTAAAACGGGCTCAAAAACGTATCCACTTTGACTACCTTCGTATAACTTCCAATTTCAAATGGTATACTGTTCTCTGTTCCACTTTCAGGGCCGTATTCAGTGTTGTTCTCCAAGATGTTAAGGTTCCAATTAACGTTATTGGATATAGGAAACTTTGGCAACATTCAGACTTGATGCACAATATTTGACTCAGGATTGATAATTATGGCGTCATTATGGCGTGATTATGAATTGTGGTGAAATAGTGTTCATTCACAATCGCCATCAACCATTGCAGCTTTTCTCAGTAAATTATTAGAACACGGTTCTAGACTTTGTGTCTCATATAGTGAATGATGAGTGTTCTTAAATGACCGTTTAAAGTTAAAAAAAAGCCGATGATGATCAAAATTTGCATCAGACAGCAATGGTGTGAAACTACAATTACGAAAAAAGAAATTTAAAAAATACAGTTGTTTTAATTGTTCATTACAAGGCCAAACTGTGCATTTTATGAATTGTGTGCGAATTCCGCAACAAGGACACTCCATTTGTTCTTTCTCGTTGATCGTTCTGACAAAATTTGCACATGTTTAATAATTGCCTCTTGAATCCAGGAACTTACTGATACAAAGTTGTGCGTCTATCCAGTGCACAGTTTGGCCTCGTAATATTCGTGGTGTGATGAATGGATCTGGAAAAAAACGTTGAACTTGAACATATTCGCCAGTAATATTAGATTAGGCTTGTTTTAAAAACTATTTTTAAAAAAATTGGTAAAAAGTTCTTTAATTTTTCAAAAATATTACAGACTTTTTTTAAAAAAAAATTCCAATTTCCTATTAAATACTAAAGAGGCGCTGAAAAAACAAGTTTAGGCTACGAAGAAAATGCCAATGCGGTTTTTCTCGCTATTGATACAATGATGTGATAATTTTTTAACGTCTTTCGATTAAAGGCTAAAAGGGCTTTAATATAATTCATCACTCGACCCAATCCAATAATTATTTGTTATAGCTAATTTTGAGTTAGAAAACGAACCCGAAGACAAAATTCCGCTCCACTTCAGCCCGCACCGAGCGCCCATGGATTCTAATCAACTATACGGGATTCCCGAGACACAAATAATCCATTATAATCCATTACAGATGTAAAATTCAGACCAATAATTGATTATATTGCCATTATAATTGACTATTTTTGAACATAGTCACAGTTTAAGAAGTCTCGTTGATCGTATCGACAGTATCCATTATGATCGATTATAATCCATTATTTTTGTCACGGAAATCGATTATTTTTGCCAAGATAATCCTTTATAATTTATTATTTTTGAAATAAAAATCCATTATAATCCATTTTATTTTTAGTACTAAATTCGATTATTTTCCTAAAATATTGCAAAAATTGCTAGAAATTTGCAGAATTTATGCCATGTTTTTTACTAAATGCCATGTCTCAACTAAATGCCTTGTCTCAACTTTTACTAAATGCCATGTCCCCTCGCCCCTCAAGTTTTTAGGGCCTAAACTGAAGGGATGTCTAAAAAAGTAGAGACAAAAATATAAATTTTATTCTGAAATGTAACATTTTATGAAACGTAATACGTAACAATTGTAATAAACAAAAAATTAGATACTTTTGAACAAAATTGTAATTTTCATGATTTGCCCCAAGAAAAAATCCATTATAATCGATTATAATAGATTATAAAGAGTTTTATTGGCTTAAAAAATATTAGGATTATAATCCATTTTTAATGTATTATAATCGGTTATAATAGTTTATAAAGACAAAAAAATATTATATATTAAAATCCAATTTCAATGGATTATAATCGATCATTTTGTCATTTTATAGATGCTGACCATATTATGACATTATATTCGATTATGATCCATGGGCCCTCGGAGCGGGAGGGAACTAATACATCATCTGCTTATCTGCTTTTGTGTTTTGCTATTTGTTTTAACTTTGTTTTAACTAATTAAAGAATCTGAAATTGTAATGGATCCACTATTCAGATCACTGTGATTCTAGACCCATGTTATTCATATTTACCCGTTTTTCAAGCAAACCAAGGACGTTTTCTTACCAAGGAAGTTAGTAGCACAGTAAATGGGGAAATACACCGCGAGATAACTGGTTGACAGAGAGCTAAAATAAATATAACGTGGTAGTATTCTTTCGTCAGGCCGTAATATTTAACATTTGCAACGTATAAACAAACTGTAAATAATGATGGCACCATTTCTATCAAAGGTTATGTCGACAGTAAAACAGTTACGCAGAAACATTAAAACAACTGACGTTTAATGTCTATTTAAGAAAAGCTGTAAAAGAAAACAATATAGGAAATAAAAATAGTACAATTGAGATCCAATTCGTTGAGGGGATTGAAAATTAAGACAAAAACTGATATAAATTGAATGTTCCGACTGCATTTTAAAGTCTATGCAAAGGTCACAAAAACCAAATCAAACACTTTTTAATGAGTTTATACATTACTCATACTGTTGAATTTTCAATTCATACTTTTGAATTTCCAACTTTCATCAAAATGTCACATATTGTGATACAAAAAGCAAAATAGAAGAAAATCTAATTGAGCCCAAACAAAATCAAAAATTCAAATCTATTTTTTGAATTTAGTGACTATGAACTTCCCGGAAACAGCTTCAGAGCTGCTTGAACTAAATATTATCCCAGTATCAAAAAAATGAAAAAATTAATTTTCGGAAAAACAAAAAGGAAAACAACTTTCAAAGTTATAACAATATAAAATATATAATAGAAACAAAAAAAATGCATGATGGATGGCAATTTTAAATCAAAAAGTTTCTTTACAGAAAAAAATTCTTGTGATTTAAAAATATAGAAAGTTTGATAGTGACGCCATAAAACTATGTGCAAATTCTGTTTCTCTGCCTTTTAAGCTTTCGTATCCTGTAAATGGTCAGATTTGCAGCCCTTTTCATGAAAAACAACTCCTCAAAACGTCTCTCCCAACTTGCTAAAAAGACGAAAACCGCAAAATTAGGCGTCGAAAAACTACACAGGAGTTCGATAGACATCAAATTTAAATTGCTGATTTAAATTGTTGCAACATCAATGAGATCTCAAAAAAACTTACTGAAACTTTTAATTTTCAAGGCAAATTTGAGAGTTACGATTCATTTTTCCTAAACAAGCTTTATCTCATCTGTTTCCAAAAAAAACAAATACATTCAAGAAAAAGTATTTCTTAAATCTAATTTCATTTTTTTTTTGCAATTAAAATTTTTATAAGCATGGTATTTTTATAATTTAGAATCAGTGTTTTTGCTCATTGCGCTTTTACTACACTTTTAGTTAAATCAAACAAAGTTCAAACTAAATTTTCCATCAAACTTTAAGAGCTCATGACAAAATATATATTTATTGAAACTTTTTTTTGAGGAAATAAGCAAAAAATGATTTGGCCGCAAACAAAAAGATTTCCGCTTCCAAACGAAAAAATTCGCCATATATATTTCTGAAGTAAATTTTTAAACTGTATGAAAAGTACCTGTTACTACAGTCACGGGACAGAATCTTTCCTTAGTTCATGTTTTATTCAGTTATTTGTTTTCACGTTTTGGTAGTTTTCTTTGCAACAATTTAAAACATAGGATTCAAAAATTGACAAATGCTAGATAACAAGTGTTTGGAAGGACCTAACCGGGCTAAAATTAGAAATAATTTAATTCAAAAAATAGTCATAATCTGTTTTAGATGACACATACATTAAAAGTTTTTGAAAGTTGTCCTACTCCAGAACGTTGGAGAAAATCTTAACACAACCTTCTTGCTTATGAAAATCATTTGCATAGATTGCAGCAGTACATTTTCCGATTCATACGCTGGAGTAGTTTCTTTTTTTTACTAACTTTGATCATCGGCGCCGAATTGTTCACAAATTTTAGCGTTTTTTGAGGCCGGTCCAATAAACTCTTTCAATTTTGTTATCTTTCGTTTTCGGTAACATAAAATGTAAGTCAAGGTTATCAGCTTCCCAAAAAACATTTTTCAGCCCTTAAATCCAATTCTTTATTTTGCTTGCGAGAATATTTCTACAGCAAGTACACCTCTGAAAATAGTAATGATACACGGGCTAATTTAGACCTTCGAACTTGGATTTTTAAAATTGTGACCCAGCTAGATCCTTCTAAATAATTTTATTTGTCCTCTATACTTTAAATACTTGCAGAGAAAACGACAAAAAAAAATTTTTAATCCCTTTACTTAATTAGTTGCAGAGAAATTGACAAAACCTGAAGAGCAAATTCATTCATTTCCTCAATGAAATATAACAAAAACATCGGCTATTTTCCGTGACTGTAGCTGCGAAGCAAAAAAAATAACAATCACCGCTTTATTCTTAAAAGCAATTACAACTTTTTTAGTTTACTCTTTATCAAAAATCATTCAAAACGACGTTAATTTGAAAATCTTCCTTAAAATTGATCGTGCGTACATCTAACCATTTCTTTCAAAGACCTGCAAAAGTTTGTAGGATTAGCTGAAGACGACTTTCTTGCCCTTTTCTCCAAGGTCAAACAATTTTAGCCAATGACACTCCTCATGATCATATGCACATACATGTATATATTTTAATAATAAGTTTTCGAGAAAGCTAGATCTTCTGTCTTATGATCTTGAGTTTTTACTATGTTGTGTTTAGCTGTAAATTTTCAACCTTTCAAAACTTATGAAAAATCTGGCAAGGATCAAATATCTTTTCTCGGAAGGAAGATTAAATGGATATAATCAGGTTGAAGTGATTTTCAATTTTGCATATGGGATTGAACGAATTAAGTGCATGGAAAATCAAATTCTCTTCAACTAATATGACGACACTAAAACATATTTTTCCAGCTTTGAACAAACCGATTGCGCAAAAATCTTAATTTTAATTGTTATTTTGCTGAAACAGTAATGCAAAACATAGTCTGTTTAACTACAAAAATTTACTTTCACAGCCTGAAATGCCAAACATGCGTGCCAAAAAACTAAGAAAATTTTAAAATATGACTCCCGAAAATAAGCGAGAGGGTTAATGCCACTTAACCGAATATACTTATTATCTCTTACTCTTAAAGCGTTCAGGAGTTCAACCAACAGCTATCAGAGAAATTTCTGGGCGTTTGAAAAACCATCTGAAATTCAAAACAAATTTAATGGACTCAGAAATATGTTTTTTTCTCATTTTGAGATTGAATTGATGCTACACTAAAAATTATTTTGAGCTACACTAAAAAAAAGTATCTGAGAAATTTGTATTCGACAAAATAGGGAAAAAAGAACTGTAGTTCTTGACTGTGGAGACATTAATTTTTTAAGCACCAGGTTAAGACAGAGGCGAAACAAAATTTTGCCTAACTTGGGATACAGAACTTATTGATTTGTTAGAAAAGTAAACAAAAATATTTTGAGAAAAAATATTCAAAAAAATTAATTATTTGTTAAATTATTCAGAACAATTGATAAATTAAGTTGATTAATTGAAAGCACAAGTAGTGTAACAAATTGGTTAAACTAAAAAAACTTTTAAACTAAAAAGTAGACCAAGCGCAATGGAAAGGTAGCAATTTCAAATTTTTCAGATCCAAGATTTTGACATTGCTTCACCATACAAAAACAGAGTTGGAGATCAATAAAAATAGCTTAAGCAAATAATCAAGTCCATAAAAACTGTTTCCAAATTGGAAAACAGAAATCAGAATAAAATCAATTTTCAAGGTTTACACATCTTTAAGTATATATTTTTTCTTGGTTTTTTTCTCAATTTTCTCCTAGTTTCTCGAGTTTACAAGATTACAAGAACAAAAATTAGCGTGCTAAAAACAAAATTTTTTATAAGGACAAGAAGTGAAAACCGTATAAAGCATTGTCCTTAAATTGGTTTAAACAAAATTCTTGCACACCAGACAACAAATTTTCACTTTATACGATTAAAATAGATCAATATTCGAGGGATTCGAAACAAATATCTATAAAAATTTTCAAAAAAAAGTGAAAATTTCAGACTATTCTACTACAATGCATTTTAGTGAAAACTGAAAACTGAAATTCGGCTTAATGATGTGACTTTCGTAGAACTTAAAAAACGTTTACTACTCTTGTTTTTTGTCTGGAGTTTTATTAGACTTCCTCCTTCACTCGCTGTCAACAGCAGTAATCAATCTTTTTGTTAAAATATGACTGAACAAGTTCTATCTGCAAAAAGTTCCTGATTCCAATCTGAGTTAATTGATGATACTACTAAATAAAATACACTCATCCATTTTATTTTGCTAATTAAGGAGCTCTAAGGAACTTGCGGCAAGTAGGCCAAAATTTTATAAAATCGTCATTATTTGCCAAACCAAGGTCCGATTCGATAGAACAAATCGCAACTTTATTCAAAAACAATTATATTGGATGTGAATTGCATCAATAGGACACTCAGTTGCATTTAAAGCATAAGAAAAAATCTTTTCAATTAACACGCACCTTTAAGAGTTTTGTTTTTGAACAAAACTTCGCTAAAATTTTCCATAAGTTTTTGTTTTTTATTCATGCTCTGCTAAGTAAAAGAACTTAACGGAAGAAACATGACAAAATCAAAAAATTCTAGATAAAATTATCAGGACAGACTTAAAGCCGACACCCGAAAAAAAAATTTAAAAAGTAGTGTTTAGTAAACAGAAATTACTTTTCAAATTTGAAAGTAGAGTTCACTTTAAAGACGTTTTCAAAATGCTTTTTAACATTAGGTTTGAGTTCCAACCGAATTTAAATCGACTGCTTGAAGAAAGAACAGTAAAAAAGTCGATCAGAATGTAGACACAAATAAACAAAACATAGCAAAAAAGTACGACTGGGCTTCGGTCATGTGATACTTTCTGTTATTTCCTTAAAAAATCCAAGATTTTAGAAACGAGTTTTGCAAAGGTTTTTTTCAAGTTTAATTTGCCGTGAAAAAACTATTTTTCTCGCAAGTTTACGGTATTTTGGGGATTTGAACAGCTCATTTGTAAATGAAAAACTTTTCAAAACAAATAACCAATTTTTGTATCTCAAATAATTGCAAGTCAACAGTTTGAAGAAACTTTTTATCGTCTAACTCATCACCATCTCCAACCAATAAGATAATTTCTAGATATT